CCCGTTCAAGAGTAACAGACCCTCTCTTTCTCTTTGTAACGCAACTGCTTCATGCATCAAACCACCATCTCTCTTCGGGAACCTGCTATCGGATTGCAAACCCACTGCAAACAAATCACGCAGCCACACACCTGATGACGAGAAATTTATTCGATCAGAAGTTCGTCGTCTTCTTGTGGAGGGCATCATTGAGACTTCAACGTCACTCTGGCGAGCACAAGTCCTCGTAAGCATAAATGAACGGCACAAGAGACGCATGGTAGTCGACTATAGTCAAACTATTAATCGCTACACGCTGTTGGACACTTACCCACTGCCGCAAATAGACGAAATGGTGTCTAAAATATCACGATACGCTGTCTTTAGTGCCGTAGAATTACGAAGTGCATACCACCAAATCGCTATAGACGCAAAAGATCAGTCATTCACCGCCTTTCAAACATGCGGCAATTTGTACCAGTTCTGTCGAATACCTTTTGGAGTGACTAATGGTGTCGCTTGCTTCCAGCGGGCAATCGATAAACTCCTTCAGGAGGAAAATCGGTTGGGCACCTTCGCCTACATCGACAACATTACAGTGTGCGAACTGAACAAAGATCATGACAAAAATCTACCGAATATTTTCAACGCTGTTAGAAAATATGGGAAACGAAGAAAACGAAGAAAAGTGTACCATTGGTACCAAAGAAGTAAAACTACTGGGTTACGAAGTCTCACACGGTTTGATGAAACCGGACCCTGAACGACTGAAGTCACTCCGAAGAACTTCCACCTCCCAAAGACCTCAAATCGTAACGCCAGGCAATCGGTTTATTTTCATACTACTCCCATTGGATTCCTCGATTCTCAGACAAGATACATCCCTTGGTACATAATAGCATATTTCTCCTACCAGAGGACGTCAGAATATCCTTCAAAACGCTCAAAAGCGAACTAGAACACACAGTTATCACCACCATCGACCCGAAGATGACACTAATCGTGGAAACAGACACCTCAGACATAGCTATTTCGGCTACCCTCTCGCAGAACCGTAAGCCGGTTGCCTGCTTTTCCAGAAAGCTATCTCCAAGTAAACGGCATCATTCCTCTGTAGAGAAAGAGGCCAACGCCATCGTCGAAGCTATACGGAAATGGATACTATTTGCTTGGCACGCACTTCAGACTGATCACAGACCAAAAATCGGTTGCCTTTATATTCGATTCGAAACACCACGGTAAAATTAAAAATGATAAAATTTAGAGATGGAGAAGCGAACTATCATGCTACAGATTCGATGTTATTTATCGCCCTGGGCACGAAAAAGCGGCCGCTGACACATTGTCTCGTAGCTGCTGCTTCATCACTCACTGTCATCCCGGAATCGTGCGAATGTTTCATGTTGTTTGAACTAAAAATCTCCCTTACTCTGCCAATGAAGTTAAATCGGTCATCAGCGGCTGCTCAATCTGTGCTAGGTGGAAACCACAGTTCTGTAAATTTCCTATGAGAAATTTAATCAAAGCCACTGAGCCGTTTGAGAGGCTGAATATTGATTTTAAAGGTCCGCTTCCGTCAGAATCTCGGAACCGATACTTGTTGACGATCGTGAACGAGTACTCTCGATTCCCGTTTTCTTACGCCTGCTCTGACCTATCAGCTGCTACAGTCATCCGGTGTCTCACCAATTTATTCTCGATCTTTGGTATGCCTTCCTACATACATTCTGATAAGGGTTCGTCTTTCATGTCCGAGGAGCTTAAGAATTTCCTTCACGACAACGGCATTGTCTCACGTAGAACGACAGCCTACAATCCTCTCTCAAACGGACAAGTTGAGAGACTAAACGGGACCCTTTGGAAGACTATCGTTCTCGCAGCGCAATCGAAGGGTCTGCCGTGCACTCAGTGGGAATCCGTTCTTCCGGAAGCTCTCCATTCTATTTGATTACTACTGTGTAAAGCCACCAATGCGACCCCACAAAAGCGATTGTTTTCTTATCGTCGCAAATCTGCATCAGGAGTATCTATACCAACCTGGTTGAGTATTCCTGGACCTGTCTTAATGCGTCGATCCGTAAGATTAACAAAAACCGACCCCCTGGTGGACGAAGTTGAATTATTCGAACGTAATCCCAAGTACATCCATATCCGTTTCCCAAATGGGTGACAAGATACTGTGTCAATACACCACCTAGCTCCCAGAGGTAAAGTTTCTGAGTTACCACCGGCTATTTATCCAGAACCCAATGAATCTTCAATCTCCGAATGCGATTCTCAACCCCCTCATACAGAGAGTAGCAATTCCGATGAGACAAGCACCACGAACGTTTTCCCACCCCTCGTTTAAAACACAGATCCACCCGAGATACATCCATTAGTAAGAGCACAACAACGCACCCACCCCTATAATTTGATAAACCGGGAAGCATAGAACATTTTTCACATACGAAAATTCCGACCAAAACTATCCGTGGGGGTGAATATGTTACATTCTCGTTCATCGTTTCAAATTACTTTGTACTCGTCCCTCTAAATTTTTCCCTCATTCCTTTCAGTCCCTGTCGTCCATTTGTATGTTGAATAAAGCCTAGATATCGGCCCTTTGTCTTCTCCCTGTTAAACGGCTGTTACGATCGGCTCTCACATCACTGTCATCATCATTGTGCAGCGTAATACAGTGAAGCGAACTTCACTGATCGATGCCGAACTCATAATGCATACAAGACAAGTGAGAATGTGTAAGAAGGACTGGGATTGGGCCTGTTTTTAGGGACGGGAAAAGAAAGCGAACCTCTATGGTCAACACACAGAGTTCACAGCCCAACTGTGCATACATACTAGTTCAAGCATTCTGCACTGATAAGAAGTGACAGCATGATCTCCATTGCTGTCAGTTTGCAGCCATGACCTTCAGTGTCTCCAACCATGCGGTTTCGGAGTCTTTTGGACTCCAACCCGAAAGAGAGAGACACCTATTCTACCTAATCGCTTTGTGCATTTCTTTATGCTTCGCCTCCACGTCATCTGTTGGCCTCCATGTGGTTTTCTCCAACCTGTAACAGCCACTGCAAACAAGGCGCTCTACGGTAGGCCACCGTCGAACATATGCAAAACGTGTCCTAACCAACGGAGCCTACTGAGCTGGATTCGATGAGATAGCGAGTTCTTGTTTGATGTGTTCCCAAACACCCGACGACTTACTTCTAAGTTACTAACCCGCTCACTCCATCCCACTTGGGCCAGACTACGTAAGCATCGATTGTCGAACAATGCTAAACGACGGGTGTCTTCTACCCGCAAATTCAAGGTCTCACAACCGTAAAGCAGAACTGATTGTACAGTGGCGCAGTATACGCGACTTCAACTTTAGTGACACGTCACGTCGCCAGTACAGGTGTTCAAGTCCTGCTCGCGCCTTGGAAATGCGGGCGGTTATCTCCTTCGATGCGCTACCGTCGTTGGTCACGCGGCTACCAAGTACGAGAAGCAGTCAACTTCAGCTATTTCCTGACCGTCTAGTTTCAGAACAGAACTCGGTGACACCCAGTCTTGTAGCATCATGCACATGCCGAACGGAGCGACAGAACTTGCTAATCTGTCAAGTGCTCTTTGTGCATCCTCCATAAATTCGAACAAGTAAACGATATCGTCAGCGTACTCCAAATCACACAGCTTTTCTCCAACTACCCATTCAATACCGACATTTTGGAGACCACTTAGTGTCTACGATGAAGTTGAACAGGAGCGGCGAAAGACGGCAGCCTTGACGAACATCGCTGCTAGTTACGAGCGACCTACTCAGCTCGCCGTAGACCCTTACGCTACCAGAGGTATGTGAGTAGAGTGAACTCAGTATATTCATATACTTCTGCGACATTCCTTTGCGAAGGGATTCACGATCATCTGAGTCGAAGGCTCCTTTTAGGTCAAGGAACACGACAACCGTTGGTCGACGCTGCGCATGGCGTAGCTCGAGGACTTGACGCGGGGTGAAGATCTGATCGATACAACCGCGACCTGGTCGAAATCCTGCTTGTTGTTCGCGGATGTTTGTCCCCCTAAACGGGGTCAGACGTCGAAGTATAATGGAGGCTAGGAACTCGATAACGATTGGGATCAAACTTATTCCACGGTGGTTTGCGTAGTCATTGCGAGATCCTTTCTTAAAATTGGAACGATCAGTGATTCGCTCCAGGATGATGGAATGCGCTCGTGTAACCAGATGTTACGCATTAAATCAGTAATGGAGTCTACAAGGTCATCGCCCCCCATCTTGAAAAGAGTGGGAGGAAGCCCGTCTGGCCCTGCTGCTTTTCTTTTCTTCAGGGCTTGGATGCAAGAACAAACTTCTCCTGCACTAGGAAGTTCAGATGACACTGCCCACTGAGCCTCATCTACATCGGAGGAGATAGTCTGGTTAGCGCCTGGCCAGCTGAACTGTTCGTTGAAGTACTCTGTCCACCGGCCAAGCCGTTGTTCCCATTGTGAATAGCTTGCCCACTGTTGTTCCAGATTGATTCACTAACTGTGGTTCGCCGACCTCCCATATTGCGTTGGAACAGTTTCTGACTATTCCCTGATGCAGCTGCTACTTCCACTTCACTAGCTATCGTTGCCCACCAGTTCTCACAGTCTTTCTTGAGGCTCCTTGTGAGATAACGTTGTAGACGCCACCCAACCCTACCTCGATCCCGGGTGGTTGGGATTTGCCGCTTTTTCTCCATCAGTGCGACTGACTCATCAGATAGCCAATGCCTCGGGCGGGCTACTGCTTCAGATCCACAAGCAAGGTTCGCTGCAGAGTGCATTGCTCGGCTAATCTGATCCCATTGTTCATTTACACTACCACCCCGCAGTGCGTTAAGCTCTTGCCCTAGTTCTGATTCTAAACGTGCACGAACGGCTGGGTCAGACAAGCGATGATCTGCCAGTTGAGTTTGGTGGGATTTTCTGCGACCAGTGAGTTGGAGAGTGAACTGCATTAAAACTAACACATGATCAGATTCAACGCAGGTGGTCTAATAGGACCTGGAGCTTTGTACTGAGCCACGCCAACGGTAGCTTACTACTATGTGGTCCACCTGAGTTAGCGTGCCAGTTGAATTTGAGCGCCACGTTGCTGTCTGTTGAGAGCTGTGTCGGAAGTTGATGCTGGATAGGAACAGATGATGATCTGCGCAGAACTGAAGAAGCCGATCGCCATTATCTGTTCGCTGGCAGGGCAGAGCACAATGACCGCCTAGACAAGCTTCCGATGCGCTCAGTTTTCCAACTTGAGCGTTAAAATCACTGTCTTCGTATGGCGGCCTTACTGTCGTCTAGTTTAATACCACGCCTGAGCAAGAAGGGCCTTACATGGTTCGCCACTCCAAGTCCCGGGGCTAAGGTGGCCGGTTTTCATCGTTAAACAGCAGGTCTTTGCGCTTATGAAGTTCACCCTATCTGCTGTTGATCACAAAAATGTGTAAAATATAGGTGTTTGACAACCGAAATAAGAGGATAAAAACGAACGTCCGGGGCTACAACCGTGGTGGTGAACTACTGACAACTCGTTTGAAGAGTTCGCTAAAAGCTGTGATTCCAAACCAAACGATAATAGGCGTACGAGCCACACTGACACATCTGATGTTGGCAGTGGTCACCAGCTCAATCGGGCATTGGACGTTTGATCCCGTTCAAAAGGTGTATGATCTGACGAATGAGGCACCGGCTCTCGATGAATTTACTCATATTGAACTTCTGTCTTTCGCGTCAGGCTTTCACGTCATGCTCTGGTGGTGAATTCCCAGGAAAATACACCTACTTTGGTCTGCTCAGTCTGACAGTATTCCTCCCACTAGCAGATCACGAACCTTTCTTTGCTATAAACCATTCTGTACTATGATTTGTTTGCTACAATCTGGGCTCAGCGTACAAAATAATACACTAGTGAAAATCAAACTACACAAGACATGTGTGGCAATTAGCTGGGCTAAGATGCATACCACCAAAGTTGGATGGTTGAGTCCCATTGTTACCTCAAACCTCAAAGCCCTATGCACAACACTGATAGCACCTGAAGCCGTCCAATCAGTTATTAGCAATCCTTACAAACTTACCGGTGACTGTTGACTTCAATGACTGGTTGTATCCCAAGATCTCTACAGGTTGTTGAAGACTGATCACACCACGCTCGATGCGTCCTGTAACGACTGTGCCACGACCAGTAATAGAGAACACCTGTTCGATGGGTAGCAGGAAAGGTTTGTCCTTTTCACGCTTGGGAAGTGGAACAGTGTCAATCACATCCAGCAATTCTAACACTTTCTCCCGTCCGATTTTCGGATCACGTCCCTATAAATGGTCAGTCACTGAAACAACATTTATACCTCCAATGCACACAGGGCTGATCCACAAACAACAGGGGTATTATCTCCGTCAAAACCATATTGTTTTAGTGTATCGCGTATTTCCAGCTCAACGAGTTCCAGCATTTCCGGGTCCGCCGCATCAGCCTTATTCACAAACACAACCAGCTTTTCGATTCCAATCTGTTTTGCCAGAAGTAAATGCTCGCGAGTTTGTGGCATAGTGCCATCGGTAGCAGCAACCACCAGAATGGCACACTCCATCTGATTGGCGCCTGTGATCATGTTCTTCACATAATCAGCGTGACCCGGGCAATCTGTATGACCATAGTGTCGATGATCAGTAGAATAGTCAACCACGGCTGCATTGATTGTGATGCCACGCTTTTTCTCTTCTGGAGCAGCATCGATTTCTTCGTAACTGCGGTAAATGGTATGCTTTTTCTCAGACAGAACTAAACCACACGGTAAAGAATAGTAACGTATGAACGAGTTCTTACTTTTAGTGATTGCAGCAGTTAGAGTGGTTTTTCCGTGATCCACGTGACCGATGGTACCAATATTCATATGGGGTTTGTCACGGACATAAGCTTTTTTCGCATTTGTAGCAGCTCCTGGGGCAGCATAATATCTCACCGGCTGAATAAACTAAAACAGGTTATATGCCCGAATAAAAAAACACGTACCTTCACAGAAGGAAACGCTGACACGAAACAAGCCTGCTTCAGTGACTGTGTGCCTGGCAAAGAGTACAGGCAAAGTTCAATACGGATTCAACACAGATTCACAAGACAGCAATAGAAATGATGTAAAACGCACGCCAAGCACTGTAGTCGACGTATCAGCTCTTTGCCGACTATCACGCACAAACAAAACGTATTGGAAATCAATGAGTGAGATCAATACTCAGGCTTTGAAATCTGGGAATTTGTATGGTATGATTAAGTTGCTTAGATTAACGACCCTTTGGATTCTTAAGTAACGGAGATAGCTTAGGGTATTCTTCAATTAATCTATGACAAAATTAAACAGGAATAGTACAATAGAACATCCTTGACGTACACCACTTGTGGTGATGACGGGTTGTATTAGCATACGAATAGCCCATACCATACTGCAAGTTACAAGAAAAGCAGTAACAAACAAGCTCGTTTACAGAGATTTGTCTTGTGTAATATATAATACAGAATTAATATGCATTACAGACTCAGAATTAAAAGATTTTGGTTCCATAACCGCAATGGTTTGGGTGAGCAGGGAGGAGTGGAGATGACTTTACCATGTGCTAATCATGATATACCGAACGGTTTTACGAATTCCCTTTGCGAGCAGCGTATGTGGGTGGAATTTGATGCACTCCGCTGTGACCAAGATATATATATATATATATATATTCCATTTCGCCTGTTCGCCGAGCTTTTTTTAGGGTATTCTTCAATTAATCTATGACAAAATTAAACAGGAATAGTACAATAGAACAT